CTTACTAGATAGACTTGCTACTGCTACAATACTTTTCTAAATTTGATTTAAAATCTGATTATTGGCAAATACAAATAAAAGAAGAAGATAAATATAAAACTGCATTTAATGTTCCATTTGGACAATATGAATGGAACGTAATGCCATTCGGATTAAAAATGCTCCATCAGAATTTCAAAAAATAATGAATGAAGTATTTAACCCATATTATAAATTTATGATAGTATATATTGATGATGTTTTAGTCTTTTCAGATACTATAGAACAACATTTTAAACATATTCATACATTTGTACAAGCAATCAAACATGCAGGATTAGTAGTATCTGCTAAAAAGATAAATCTTTTCCAAACAAAAATAAGATTTTTAGGCCATCATATTCATTATGGTACAATTATACCAATCAAAAGATCTATTCAATTTGCTGATAAATTTTCTGATATTATTTTAGACAAAACCGAATTACAAAGATTTTTAGGATGTTTAAATCATATAGTAGACTTTTATGAAAATTTGGCTATAGATGCTAAACCATTATACGAACGGCTTAAAAAGAATTCTCCTAAATGGACAGAGGAACATACTCAAGCTATAAAGAAAATAAAAATTAAAGCTAAAGAATTTCCTTGTTTAAATCTAGCTAATCCTAATGCTTTCAAAATAATAGAATGTGATGCTTCTGAATTAGGATTAGGAGGTATTTTAAAACAACGAATAAACTCTAATGAACAACTAGTCCGCTATACTTCGAAAGCTTGGAATTCTACTCAACAAAACTATTCTACCGTGAAAAAAGAAATACTTTCCATAGTTCATTGTGTTACTAAATTTCAAAGTGAGATACTTAATACATATTTTCTTATTAGAACAGATTGCAAAGCCGCCACTGATATTCTTACTAAGGATGTGCAAAACCTTGTCTCTAAGCAAATCTTTGCTCGATGGCAGGCAATATTATCATCCTTTGATTTTTCTATCGAACACTTAAAAGGTACTACTAACCATCTTCCTGATTTTCTTACTCGTGAATTTTTGCAGGGAGGGCAACACTGATCATTTTGATCCACGAGCTTTATCTTTTCCACTAACTTTGTTTTATGCAAATATGAATAAAAATAATAATACTTCTACTCCTGAGCAAACGGGAAAAGCCCCTATGGAAACCTCACTGGATATCATTCCAGTAAATATTACCCAGTCACCAATAAGAATAGAACCTGCTTTATCACCCAATAATAGTCCTATTTCCTATTCCTCAAATATCAATTATCCAACTTATTCAAGCCAACCTTCAGCTTCTCCTCCAACTCCAGTTTTCCTAACCTCTACACCAAAGAAACCAACTTGATCCAGCAAAACTCCATATCTTGAAACCTATTTTGTTGCTGATGCAATCATAGAATCCAAACATGTGAATGACAACCCAAATAGTGTTGCTAAGTATTACTTATGCAATAATCTTTGTCCATCTGTAGGTACCAAAACAAGAGAATGGTACGAAATGATTCTGCTAGAAACATAGTCTATTTCCTTGGTACATTATAATCAAAAGAATTAAAAAATAGTAGCATATTCAAAATTACACATAAGGAAAGTATTATCTTTTGAAAATTGGGGATCAGACCCTTCCAAAGCCAAGAGAATATATTCCCCAGATTTCCCAAATAAATACTACAGACATGCTGATTACATAGATGCTTGGCATAAGATACAGACACTTCAAAACCCATATAATTCTCACACTTGGTTCTTACAGTTTAAAATGCCTATAAATACTCCATTTTTAAATTGGTTTCGTAATTGGTTTGCAACATGGGGATCTTTAACCCAAATACTTACTGAACCTCTACAACTCTCTCTAAACCGTTTTATTGACTTCAATGGGAGTGATCCCAATATAGATTACCACTTATATTTTATTGCTACGTATCAAGTACCATGGATCGTTAAATGGAATTTTATGATATCCCCAAATAGTACAAATAATTTTGAATATATGCCATGTTTAGGCAAACGAATTGCCATAAAATGGTGGGACGTCTTTGTCTACCATAATATTGAACCAGACAATATACAGCTCAAAAGAATCCCATTAGCATATGGCTCTCATTCATACTCCAACCCAAATAGTCTAGCAGAATATATTACCATAATGAAAAAGCAAAATCCCAGAGCCACCAAAGAAGAACTAGAAAAACAACTACTGAAAATATTTGAAGAAGAGGCAGAAACTGCCAGCACACCAAGTACTCCCGAAATAGAAATACCACTTGATACACCCTACCCATCAGGACATGGAATGTCCCAAAAACATACCTTGTATTAACCCAATATGGATACGATAATATTTATGATATGACATAAAGCAAAGATGTGACCCAAAGCAAAGCTGATGTGACCCAAAGCAAAGCCGATGTGACCCAAAGTAAAGCCGATATGATCCAAAGCAAAGCTGATGTGACCCAAAGCAAAAAAGCAAAGCTGATGTGACCCAAAGCAAAAAAAAAAAGCTGATGTGACCCAAAGCAAAGTTGATCTGACCTAAAACAAAGCTGATGTGACCCAAAGCAAAGCTGATGTGACCTAAAGCAAAGCTGATGTGAAGCAAAAGCAAAATAGATGTGACCTTGATATGACCCAAATAAAGATGCTCGAGCCACCGACAAAGCCACCTGTCATCAGAAAAAATTCCACCTGTCTCCACAAGTACTCAAAAGATGCTCGAACCATCTCATCAACCGGTCTTTTACAACTAACGCAAGATTCTCGAAGATAAGGATGAATGATCCTCTACAACCAGGACCAACCACGTGGCACCCACCTACATCTTTTACTTCTCTATAAATAGGGGAGGAAGAGAAACATTCGATATAACCTCTCCTCTCAGAAAACAACCTCGCTTCTCATCTCTTCCCATTTTTCTTCTCTTTTAAACTATCTATGTGTGATTGTAACGTCAAAGCCTTACCAGATTATTACCCAGACGAGTGGAAACTATTATGCAGTTACTGTATCTACACTCTGTAAGTTTTGTTTTATAAGTCGCTTTGATTTTCAGAGCTGATGAAGTTAAGTGAGAGTCTGTAACAGTTTATTATTAAGTATGCTTAGTTAAGTGAGAGTCTGTAACAATTTGTTATTAAGTTTGCTTAGTTAAGTGAGAGTCTGTAACAGTTTGTTATTTTCAAGTTTACTTCAGTCTGTAACAAGTTTGCTTTAGTTTGATTCAAGTTTGTAATATTTTACAGTTGTTATGATAATACGTTATATATATATGTTATTTTTTCAATAAACTATTTAGTTTACTCATATTGTTTAAATTAATTTCTAAATACCTATGAAAATACATGCGATTATTAGTTGGACCAGTTGCAAATGTTAGTGTTAAATAATACGTCTTTCATAGGTACGTCAATAAATTTCTTCGAATATCAGTGCTTGAATTATTCAGTAATCGAGCTCGACCTGAAGCTTGATACATGAGTCCGTCTGTGTTCAAATGTGTGTGTATATGTGTGTGTTTTTCCGAGTACAATTCTCTGAACATGAGACTTGATAGGTCGCATTGACTTCAAAAATTATTGATTTTAAAAAATTTGACTCAAGGAGACAGTGGCCTATGCTGATGCCAATCCGGGGTTTAAAATATTAATTTAAAAGGTATTAGCTGAAAGCTTCACTAATTTCAATATATTTTATTGTCAACAACTTAAAAATTGGGTTTTTGAATTGGGAATCATCGATCCGAACTCGAAATCGGTTCAAATCTACTTGATTCCCTCTTAATTGTAGTACCCATACCTAAAAATGTACCGAATTATATCAATGTGGATTTCTAGAAAAGAAGAATCTACACCAAGTTAACATTAATAAAGAAAGAAAAGAAAATAAAAAAGAAAAAGAAAAAAAAACCCAACCTACCACCAATTTTCTAAAATTTTTTTGTCTTCATTTTTAGTGATGTCACACACATATATAGAGGGGCTCACCCCAGCATTTCTAACTGGCTGAGAGAGATATACATAGAGTGGCTCACCCCGCAGAGAGAGAGAGAGAGAGAGATGGGTGAAAAGGGGGAAGTAAAGCTTATAGGGGCATGGCCAAGCCCCTTTGTGCTGAGGGCAAGAGTTGCCCTCAACCTAAAGTCAGTGGACTACGAGTTCCTGCAAGAGACTCTAGGGAACAAGAGTGAGCTGCTCCTTCGTTCCAATCCGGTTTATAAGAAGGTCCCTGTGCTCCTCCACCATGATCAGCCCATATGTGAGTCCCTCATCATCGTCCAATACATCGATGAGGTCTGGCCCGGCCCGGCCATCCTACCGAAAGATCCTTCTGAACGAGCCCTGGCTCGATTCTGGGCTGCCTATGTCGACGACAAGGTGATCTCTCTCTCTCTCTCTCTCTCTCTGACATATAAAATGACTTCATATGCTGGAGACTCAGGCTTGGACAGGACTAGATGTTGATATTAGGTCGGCTCGACCTGTGTATGCGATCTGACACTGAGACTGGATGATCCGGGTCCCCTTGACGTGGAGTAGGGGTGGCAATGGGTCGGCTACAGCTGGACCTGGACCTGGACCTGGACCCAGACTTGAATGGTATTCGAGTCCAAAATTTGGACCTATATCCAGACTCGTCAGGTCCACGGTTTGGTCGGATCCATTTGCCCTATTATTATTATTATTTTTATGCCTTTTTTTTACTATCTTATATGGGTTTTTTTTGTTAATAGTATAATAAATATTGTCAATATTGTGATAATAAGAACGCCTAGCATGCGTTTAAAGTTACACGACTGTCATCATATACCCTACGAGAGTTGGTATGTATCGGGTCCGGTTGAAATTTGACCCGAGTAGTATTTAGGTCCCAAATTTGGACCGATATTCTGGACCTGATGTGGGGTTTACCCATCAGGTACTGGACCTGATCACCCTACGAGAGTAGGTATGTATCGGGGTCCGGTTGAAATTTGACCCGAGTGGTATTTAGGTCCCAAATTTGGACCCATATCCTGGACCTGATGTGGGGTTTACCCTTCAGGTACTGGACCTGATCGGGTCTATTGCCATCCCTAAACCTGATCGGGTCTATTGCCACCCCTAACAATAGAGCTAATATGATAGAAATCGGGCTTGGGCTCAAGTGGTTAGCAGTTGATTTTATTACCAGTAGATCTCAAACTTCATTCCTAGAACTGGACTGCCCATAAAAAAAAGGGTGTGTTTTGTATAGAGCCTAGGCTCTAAACAATCAGATTAGAGCCTACCTTCAAATAGTGTCAAAAAATGTGTCTTCAATACTTCAAATGTTTTGGATAGCTTTAAAATATATTTCTATCTTTATTTATAGTTTAAAGCTTAAAAAATAGTGCAAATTGAGAGATCTATTAAAACTTTAAAATCTTGAAAATTGATGGTTCAAAAATGCGTTACGTTAAGAAATACGTGATTTTGAAAACTTGAAATCCATTTATTTCTCATGTCAATGCATCTTGATGTTAAGATCATCAATTTATTTGAGCATCAAAACAACCTCTTCAAGTGAAATTTGAAGTAGGTTCGAATTTGATTGTTCAGAGCTTCAGCTCTATATAAACTTTTCCCTAAAAAAAAACTTTTCCCTAAGAAAAGGTTGTAATATTGTGCCTTGGAATGACCAATGGTGCCAAAAGTAATATATATCGGTTGTGTGAGTTCCTCTAAGCAAATGCTCCTCCAGTAGGAATGGGCCCCGAAACCGATCATATTTTTAATTTTTTTAATATTTTTTTCTATTTTATCATTTCTCATAGTGTTCTAAAAATTTGGAGAGTCCACTTAGACTTTCATGAGTTACGAGTTCCTGTATTTTGCTATTATAACTTGTATCAAATCGGCTGAGTCTTTGACGCGGACAGGCTGGACATGCCTGGTCTAGAGTTCGAGCCTTGTTTATCGACAATTATTTTCATTTCCTTTATTATTATTCTTGTGAAGTGATTTTGAATTGTGCAGGTTTTCCCGGCGATGCAAGGGATGATGAAGGCCCAAGGGCAAGAGGAGGAGAAGAGTGTGATTGATCAACTTCTTGGAGGGCTGCAACTTTTGGAGGGAGCTCTGAGGGAGGTCGGCAAGGGGAAGAGATTCTTTGGTGGGGACGAGATCGGGTACATCGACATTGCCTTGGGGAGTATGTTGGGTTGGATGAGGGTGACTGAGAGGTTCTCCGAACTGAAGCTTTTTGATGCTGAAAAAACTCCTCTTTTGGTCCAATGGGCCGATTCCTTCACCTCGGCCGAAGCGGTCAAGGGAGTAATGCCGGAAACTGATAAACTGGTGGAGTTTGCCAAAATATTGCTGGCCAGGTTTAAGTCCCAAGCGTAGAGGGAGAGGGAGAGGGAGAGGGAGAGGAAGAGGCTTGTGTGCATGCTTCTCTTGTGGTTCATGTCACAAGGGGAGTAGCATGTGATGAACTAAGGGAAAGAATAAAGCATGACAGTTTATTTTTAGTAAATAATATCAATTTCAAGCATTTAGCTTGTACCTAGAATACTGTTTATATTATAAGTATTTGAGTAGTTTTTCCCCACTCCCAAAGGGCTGTTCACACCTTTTCCAACAAGAATGAGATTTAATTCTCTTACTCAAATTTACCTTGATACCTTTTTCTAAAGATGGGGTCCGTATCAAGCTTAAGTAAGGTGCGCCATGAAATATTTATGAAAGATGCAAGTTTAGTACATAAAACTTTATGCTGTCGATTATCATAACTATTTAATTCTCTTTTACTTATGTAGATTATATAGTCTTAGGTTATAATTTTTGTAGTCCATATACTGTAGACTATCATCATCATAATTTTTTTTAATTATTTGAGATCGGTTAAATGAATTTTGATATGTTATTTTATTCTATCAAAAGGCATACCTTCAAGGAGATCATAAAGCTTCATATTTTTTATCATTACCTCCAATCATACCATTTTGGGTTTACTTTTTACCCATTTTTGAGCCTTCAGACTTAAACGACCTCGGATCCCCTAATAGATATTATACTGAGTATTTGTTGCACATGGTCAACCCGCTTAAATTTATTTTATTTTATCGTCTATATATTATATATAATAGAAATTTATATATATTGAACACAAAAGTTTATGATTTACGGTCAATAGCCAAAGGTTCGGAGCCTATGACCATGGACATGCAATAGTCGCTAAATATTATAATTGAAAAAAAGAATAAAAAACAACCCACCCAAATGCGTAAGGTTGGCATGTGCAAGGCTAGCCCTTGCCATGGTCCTTGAAGGGCCAGATTGGAGACTGGGTGAAAGAGATCTTGGCTCAAGCCTAGCCTTGGCTCAGACTAGGCAAGACAAGATCGAGCTAAGCCTAATATACCTACACAAGAAAAAGAAAAATAATAAAGGACAAAACAAAAAAATTTGGCCAAAACCAGGCCAGGCGGGTCTTGTCATGGCCCTGGCCATGGCCCAGTCACGACCCAATCTTCAAGTCATGGCGGCCTGGCCCTCGAGCCACATTTTATGGGCCTAGTTTTTCAAAAGATGAGGTCAGACCGAGCAGCCTGGCCCATTACTAGGCCTACAAAAAAAGCATAATCTTATAAAGGCATCCTCAAACCCAATCCACCAACCACATCCACTTGGTCCGAACATGGCGGTCTGTACACTCCACTAGTTAAAGCGGTGCGCGTGGCATAAACAAAAGCGCGTGGCTGAAAAGCAACTAAAATTGGTACCGCCAAACACTTATTATTGTGACAGGCCTCTTGACACGATATCCGGGGTAAGTAACGCTGTGATGTGATGTGATGTTACTAGTTTCTATCTCACGCTTTTTTAGTTCACTCATAAGAGGATCCGGAGTTTATGCATCCAGGCCCGCACCTGTTTTGGTGAAGGCTCTCAAATCAGGCCGTCCATTTAGGCAAGTGCACGTAGTTCTCGAATTCCAACGTGGCGAACCGGAACCCCAAGTTAACGTGAGCAAGTTATTTCAAATAGGGTTCAGTTGGCATGCATACGTAGTTGTAAAGGTAAGGGGCACATTCAAATTTCATCTTGTATATACTTTTGATGTAAAATAATTTTAAGATTATTTCAAAATTTATTTTTATATCGAATTATAAAATTTTAAAATGATTAAAATTGAGTATATCTATAAATATATGAAAATAGACGGTGTAGATAATATGTTGTAAAATGTATTATTTTTAAAATTTAAAATCTTTTTATTTTTCGTAGTTATACATCTCGATGTTAAATGATTAATCAAAGGGTTTTTCAACATTAAAACTACATTTTTCAATGGATTTTTGAAGTGCATCCGTAGTTCTACACTATAAGATTTTATCATTATATATTTGTTAAAAAAAATAAAATAAAAATCCATCTCTATATAAACCTTTTCATTTTCAAATACAGTTAAAAATGCCACACGTCCACAAAATAACTTTACAGGTTTCATGGAAGCCAGCCTTTTAAACAATTTATACCCTATTTTTCCGTATTTTTCATTGAAAATTTATAGAGAGAGATTACAAGAGAGAAAGTTGCTTTGGTGTATAGAAGCGTGAACACAGAAAAATACATCACCGCACCCTAAAGAGATTCAGAAAGGCCTTTATCCGCATAGTAACGATATGAAAGAAAGGCTAATGCAATATTGTTAGGGAGTACATATTTTTATTTTTTTTCTTTTCACTCATTTTTTTTATTTTTTATTTTTTATTTTTATTTTTGGTAAAGATCACTTACAAATACTCTTATTACAATAATTTTTACTTCAAAGAAAATAAAACTAACAAATCTAATATCTTAAAAACCTTGTGCCATTAAACCAATTTTTTTGTTCGGGAGTGCGTGAATTATGGAGTGAGTTGGGTTAATGCATGTTATTGTGGTTTGTACTTGTTATGCTTATGATGATTTACTATGATGCTTGTGATGGGAAGACTTGATAAATTGCTAATTCATATGACATCTGATATCTGAATTGTGATTGTTCCACCATAAGAGAAAAAAAGGAGTCACTTATGACACATTGTTAAATAAATTGTTATGTATGGTTTCATATTAGCAAGACATGTATGAACATGGAGTATGGTTACGAGTTATTGTGCGTAATCATAATTGCATGATGTTTGATCTAATTATTGAGCTTTATAACTCATTCCGTTTGCTTCCATCCTTGTCGATTAATAGCCGCAGGTCAAGGACGTGCGGGTGGTGTTCGTTACTGGCGGGTGAAAACCCGAGCTTGGCGAGATAGCTCTAGATTGTAGGTGTTAGCTAGTCGTTGGCTATATAATTGTTGTTTGTAAAGTTATGTATTTTATTGTTGGGCCTTTCATGCCTTGGACATTTTGTAATATTTGTATATATCAAGCTTGGTTTTAATTTATCCAATTTTTGTTATGGTTCTAGTGGGACTTTTTGCTTTCTTTTATGGTTTGCTCTGATTTCTTTATTTTCAGATGCGTTGAATTTGCTCCTACCTGAGTGGCATTCGCTACTTCACACGTGGTCCCACACTCTGATGCCCTCTAGCTCATACGGTAGGGGTCAGGGAGTGGGGACGTGACATTTCATCTCTAGGGGGGACCTGAAATCTATATATTGGGACTGTGATCTGTTGCCAATTGGCTAAACTTTGGTGACCCACTAATGATCTCCTGCATAGATGTGGGTCGTGGGCAACGCTTGGTCAGTTTGAAAAAGCTTGTGTGGTTCGTAATTTGCGGTTGGACATGGAGTGCCCTAGTGATTATTTATTCTTAGACCATATGGATCATTTTCTCATCAAAGTTTTTTATTTTATTTATTTTAATAATATATTATTTTTAGAATTATTATTTGAATTTATTTGAATATCTGGATATTTTATTTATCAAATTTGGATTTATAAAAATGGTGATATTGATTTTATAATGATGTAAATATTTCAATAATGATTTTGTGTTTTTTTTAAAATTATAAAAATAATATAATTACATAGGAGGCCCAATAAATATTTTCGGCCCACCATTGTATATCGGGTGGCGCCCATTATGTGCTCAAATAGGTGGCATGCCCCACCTAAAGAAACCTCATATTTTGTGGAGATCAAGCTTTAAGCTTGAGAGATAAGTTTGTGTTGTTTTAAGTAAGTTGAACCTTGAGAAAATTTTGAATGATGTTTTTGTATGTATGAGAAGGTTTGTGCATAAAATAAAAAAATATAATTTTATGATATATTAACTTCTTATTTGAATTAATTGATGGGAAAATGATTTGCGAAGTAAGGGATAATGATCTAGCACCTTCCACAGGATGTTGATGACCCATCTATAAAATAAAGAGCTCAAATCTCTCACCTAATATCAATGATGCATATTCAATCTCACATGAGTGGCAAGTAAAAAAAAACTCTAATCTTGATCAAACACTATAAAAAAGGGATTGTCTCCACCCAAAATCTCTACACCTTATCTTTCTATCTCTCTCTTCACCTACCAAAGAGGGCACGCCGCACTTAGAATATCTTTCTCTATTAAGAAAGTTTTTTTCTCTCATGAAAGCCTAAAAGGGGTACACACCCAACTCTCTCATCTTTGAAATCTCTCTTTCTTCCACATTGTGAAAGAACCTAAGAGGTTTAGGCTATTTAGAGTTGTTATCTCTCTCATAGTGTCTCGTTCATGATCTCTTATCTCTCATTGGGGTTTAGACTATAGGATTGTGGTAGAAAAGAAAAACATCTATCTCAAATTAGGTTGTTAAGAAGATTAATCTAAGGTTTGAGTTTTGATGTGGCTTATCCAAACTTGTTTTCTTGGTGGAGATTGAAGGTTGACCATTAGATCTCGTGCCATCGGATGGTGGTGACTCATTGTGGGGTGCAAGAAGCTCGGTTGAGGTAGTCATCAGCACCCTCTTAAGTTTCTTCCATATTATATTTACTGTATCTTTTATTTCTTAGCATAGTTGTATCATTTCTTTTGTTCATGAAAAGTGAGATTTGAATGAATTCAAGTTCTTGAGATCCTATCATATTATTTTATTTTATTTGAGTAATCCATGCCGCAAAGAAAAGAAAACTGAAAAAATTATTACATACTACCATCTAGATCACATGAGTCCTTTCACTAGTTATATATCCCAAAGTGACATGGGTACTTAGAATTGATATCTAAACATGCAGATATGATGAGAAGTCATCACAATAGTCTTCCTTGGCAATGGTAGGCTTGGTTGCATCCCGGAACAAGATCACCACTAGCCTTCATCCTCGGAACATATCAGAGTGAGTGGAGGAACCAGTCACTATCTCCTCGATAGTGGATATGGTGAAATGGCTCGAAATCCGAAAGAAGAAGCTGTTTCCGTCCTTTGTATTTTCTTACTTACTTCATATATTTACCAGATCAGCTAAATATATGAGAGAGACCTCAACTTGCCCTGACCCTGCCGAGCATCTCTTCCTCATCCTCCTCTCTCTCCTCCTCCACTTCCATATACTTATATCTCCTCGCCAACACTACATACAACACCAGATCTGCCGTGACCATTGCCGCCACCAAAAAGAAAAACCTGTCAAGCCTCCCATCGTCCAATTCCTCCGCAATCCATCCGGGCCTGTTCCTACCTCCTGTGATCTTTGCCACCACTGCCACCAAAATGCTGCTCATGTAATTCCCAAATGAGATCGACGCCATGCACAGCGCACTCCCGAAGCTCTTCAGTCCTGCGGGTGCCTGTCTGCTGAAGAATTCAAGTTGCCCTACATACATGAACACCTCGGATGCACCTACTATGCAGTATTGAGGCACCTACAAGCCAAGGTCTAAAATCATAAGGAACCATGTGCGACTGGGTTGGTTATCTTCATGTAGGGTATAGTTATAGACATTGTTAAGTAACGCAAAAAAACCTTATACTAATAAAAATAAAATACTAATGTTTGAAGTTGTGATAGTCACTACTCAGAAAAGAAAAAAGTAATAAAATGACTGAAGCAATGGCATTATAACAGTTTAGTTTTCCACTCTTTTTTTTCTTTCTTTTTGATTGTTCAGTAGAAAACAAATGTGGGGACATAGTGATGAATTCATCACGATAGAATCAAGCCCATGCCCGAATTTTCCTTGTTATTTTCTAAATATTCGTTACATTTTCAAGGAACAATGGGATTTTATTGGATATTACGACTCTAATTTTAAAAAGTAATGAACTTAACACACATTACAGAGAGATACAGCACCCATACTATTACAATTTCTGAAAACCAAGTCGGCATACTAAAAAATGCCCTTTATCGATCTAGATAATGATCAAATGGAAGACGTGGATGTGATACGGTTACTCACAACAACCTGATTTTCGTCGGGATCTAATAAATGGATCGATGCGCTCTCAATGACAGAAAACAGTTGCAGAAATTGATTTTCCTCAAAGAAGATGATTTACACATTATTTTCTTCAAACCATACCTGCCAGAAGATGCTCGTTGATTGTGGTACACGTGTGAGGCGGCACCACTCTACAAGCCCCGCAGCAATCATAGCCAGTGCGGCCAATGCGAGGCCAATGCCCATGCGAACCAACTCCGAGAGGCCCCGGTAATTTTCTCTTGAGAACAGAGGGGTGAGGACCCTACGATAGAGAAGGATATGAAAGGCCACACTGATGATGTCGAAGGCAGACATGCTGGCCGCAGGTATGCGGAAGTGGGTGCCTGTGGACATTTTGTCGCCCTGTTCGACAAAAAGAGAGGCCATCTGTGTGAAGGCGACCGAGTACATGATTGTGCAGAGCCAGATAGGTAGGAGACGGAGAACCGACTTCACCTCCTCGACTTGGGTCACGGTGCACAGGTGCCAAGGGTCTGGGTGCTTGGCGCTGTGGAAATGACCGTCGGCCTCCGTTATCGTTGCCGCCTTGTCAAGGAACCTGCAAGGTGTAATTGAGATTATAGCTCACCAAAGGGCCCATCAAAAATTCCATGAAATCGTATCACGTATTTAATATGCAAAATTGGAAAATAAGCTAACCTATACTGGTCACTATGCAAGATCTTCTTGCTCCCTATGATAGACTCCTTGCCATCAAGCTCATAGAGGTCTTCTCCATTAGTGGGGGCCGCCACCTCCCATTTGCGAACCGCAGCGACCAACACCTGTGCAACACGTGGCAGCGGGTTCCCACTAGGCTTAAAATGCCTATACCTTTTAGTCCCAGCTAAGAAGAGGACCAAAGCCAATAAAGCTGAAGAGGAAGAGACCCAAAATCCCATGTTCCACATACCCATATCCTCAAAATAGACCAATATAGTGTTAGAGAATAGGGACCCTAAATTTAGAGCAAGATAGAAGTAACTGAAGAAGGCTTTCTTAGAGTGCCTTTCCCTAGAGTCCTCCCCATCAAATTGGTCGGCTCCAAAGGTTGCTATAGTGGGCTGGTATCCCCCATTTCCAAGGGCAATCAGGTAAATTGAGAGGTAAAATAGGGCCTCACCCAGTGTCGAGGGTGTCCGGCAAGGGGTGAAGTGGTCCCCGCATCCGGCGGGTGTGATCAATAACATGGATGAGGTTAGAGACAGAAGCACCAATCCCTGTGAGAATAAATCAGGGCATATTATTAAAAAGACAAACAATTATAAAAGTTAACTAAAAAATAAAGTTGTAAAAAATATTTTACCAATTTAGTGCATCATTGCTTATGCATCCTTAAGAAAAGTCAGAAGCTGAGGCTATGAATTCACTAGGCAATAAGAGTTGTAATTTGTGAAAGCCAAGAGGAGTAGCAATCTTATTAGAATGGAACATAAACAGTTGGGAAATAGAAAACTTACTACATAAGAGCGGACCCATATGAGGAAGTTAATATCTCAAAAGCAAGGAGAATTACTAGTCATAGCATTGAGAGAGAGTGAGACAGAGTCCTACTCAAAGAATATGTTTTAGTTGATGATAAGCGAATTATGCAACAAGTTTGTTTATCTTTGGTAGAGAAAAATATCATAATCACCGATATCTATCAATTGTAAAACTTGGTAGTGTATTATTTACAATTGAAAGTTTTTAAAAAATTTCTTTGAAATTTTTCCGGGAAATGATACACGCTAGATGTCCAATCTCACGGCTTAAGATACTTGTGACCATTGTGAACCACAGTTTCATTGTATCCAATCCCTTATGATGTATTACGAGGTAAAAGGAAAGGTTGTGCCCCACAAAGAAAGTCCAGGATGTGCAATTTGTAAAGCAAATCCACTAAAACTACATTATACTCCACATGCACCAGAAGAACCATGCCTCATCCAATTGGATCAAGTTGCTCTGTCTCCAAAGAGATGTAATCCAATTAGACATTCCATATATAAGTGGCGTATCGTATGACAACACTTCAGAAAGCAATGAAAAAGTCATTTGTCAAATGAGAGAAACAAGCACATATTACTTACAACAGTATGTAACTTACCGCAACAAAAATGATCTGAAAAATTGTACATGTTTTGTACCGTCCCCAATAAGAATCGCTTAGAAATGCTCCTACGAGAGAGAAGAGGTAAACTGTTCCTGTCCATTTGCTCACGTTGTTCGCTGCCTCAGCGTTGCTTTGCTGTAAGACTCTAGTTAAAAATAGCACTAGGTTCACTCCTACTCCAAAGAAGGCTAATGTTGCTAATCCTTGATTAACTGCACAAGATAAATTATAAATTAACATAGCATTGGAAGAGAGATAAAAAGAAGAGGTCTCCTTTCTACCAAGTAGACCGGGTGTGGTAGACCTAGGGCAGGCCACGGGCGGGGCCCAGGGGAGGCCAGCCCTGGCCCGAGTATGGCCTTGTTCCCCTCAAGGTCGGCCCAACCCAGACGGGGCCAAAGAGGCCCCACCCTATAAAGGCCCAGCCGGTAAATAATATTAAACAAAGGCCTGGCTGGCCCTATCTTGACCCTGGCCTTGCCACATTTTGTGGCCCAAGCTTTAGTCTTTTAGGGTCGG